ATATATATATATATATATATATATATATATATACTTGTATACATTATTTATATGTGCATATATATGCATGTATACATATATACATACATATGGATACATATGTGTATACATAAATACATACATATGGATACATGTATGTGTATACAGAAATACATATATATGCATACATATATACATATATACACATACATTTATATTTATACATAAATACATATATGTATACATATATACATAAATGCATATATTTTATATGTTCTTTTGCATAACCTACAAACTCACCATTAGTTGAACAGATTGCTCTTCTGAAAGTCTTGTTAGAAAAGTTCCTTTCCTTTTGTTGCAAGTTGCTTATGGGCAGTTGTTTGTTTTTGAATTTCCTTTCTGATAATTAGAGTAGACCCTGTCTTTTTCTTAGTTACCTTTGCATTTAACAGTCACAAATTGTAGATACAGGTAAAACAAGAACCAGACACAGTGGTCTTTTCCATACTACTGAAAGCAGTTGGCCATGAAGCACAGGGATAGAGCATGGATTTGTAGGTCCCACCCACTCTATGATGATTGGCTACTGCCAGGAAGGGAGAGGGGGGAGAGCTGGTATAAAGACGCACCCTCTCCCGTATGTTTATCAGGCCAGCATAGCATATGGAGAAAGTGGCGTTTTGGCCGCATATTTTCTTTTTTGCTCAAGTGACCGCTATCAGATGAATAGAAGAAAGGTAATAAACTAGTGTGGAAATGTTGTGTATTCTATTTTGTATTGCAGATATCAAATATTAATTAGAATAGGATGAAAAGGAATTTATGGATAAAAGTTTTGTGTATCTGGCATTTACTTGCCTTTGCTTTTGACATATTTAGAATTTAAAACAGGATTAAAAGATAAGTCCTAGTGTGCTTTTTTTTTTATTCAGATTTGTACCTATACCTTTACATAATCAATGGAAATGTCTTAGATGTGTTGCCTGTTACACATGCAAACAGCAAATGAGCCTAAAGACCCTTTCCATTAAGGCTCATTTTCATATTCATGATGTGAGACTCAATATGTTTTTTATGGCTGCAGGAAGGGGTGTGGTCGGGAGACTTGTAGGTGCTGAAGCATTTTTGTGATGAGCTTTATATTGGAAGTAATTTCAGTTGGGTTCCTATGTTTGGAAAACCATTATTTTTACTAGGCTTTGTTGTGTTCCATTAGCAGTGCTGTTGATTTGATGGTGTTTCCTGTTTATGCATGGGTCTTTATTTGTGTTATTTTTGGTTATTCCTTCTCCTCCCTTCTCCTCTTCTCCTCTTTCTTCATCTTCATCTTCATCTTCATCTTCATCTTCATCTTCATCTTCATCTTCATCTTCATCTTCATCTTCATCTTCATCTTCATCTTCATCTTCATCTTCATCTTCATCTTCATCTTCATCTTCATCTTCATCTTCATCTTCATCTTCATCTTCATCTTCATCTTCATCTTCATCTTCATCTTCATCTTCATCTTCATCTTCATCTTCATCTTCATCTTCATCTTCATCTTCATCTTCATCTTCATCTTCATCTTCATCTTCATCTTCATCTTCATCTTCATCTTCATCTTCATCTTCATCTTCATCTTCATCTTCATCTTCATCTTCATCTTCATCTTCATCTTCATCTTCATCTTCATCTTCATCTTCATCTTCATCTTCATCTTCATCTTCATCTTCATCTTCATCTTCATCTTCATCTTCATCTTCATCTTCATCTTCATCTTCATCTTCATCTTCATCTTCATCTTCATCTTCTTCTTCTTCTTCTTCTTCTTCTTCTTGCCTTTACTTCTTCCCTTTACCTTTTTTTTTCTTTTTTTTTTTGCCATGTCTTTTCTTTCTCCTTTTCATTCTCTTTCTTTTTCTTTACTTCTTCCTTTTATATTTAATTTTTATTCTCTTCCCATTTCCCTTCTCCCTTTTCCTTTCTCCTTTCTCCTTCCTTCTTCCTTTCTCCTTCTTCCTTTTTTCTCCTTGTTCTTCTCCTACCTCCCTCTTCCTTCTCTCCTCTTTTCTCTTTTCTTTCCTCTTTCCTCTTATCTCTTATTCCTCTTATTCCTCTTATTCCTCTCTTCTCTACCTAACCCATCCTTCCTCCCTCCTAACCTTTTCTTCCTCCCCCAATGCCTCCCTCTTCCCTCCTCTTCCCCTCTTTCTTCTACTACTTCTTCCTCTTCCCCTCTTTCTTCTACTACTACTTCTTCCTCTTCCTCTTCTTCCTCTTCTTCCTCTTCTTCTTCCTCTTCTTCTTCCTCTTCTTCTTCTTCTTCTTCTTCTTCTTCTTCTTCTTCTCTTCTTCTTCTTCTTCTCTTCTTCTTCTCTTCTCTTCTTCTTCTTCTTCCTCTTCCTCTTCCTCTTCCTCTTCATCTTCATCTTCATCTTCTTCTTCTTCTTCTTCTTCTTCTTCTTCTTCTTCTTCTTCTTCCTCGTCCTCTTCTTCCTCGTCCTCTTCTTCCTCTTCCTCTTCCTCTTCTTCTTCCTCTTCCTCTTCCTCCTCCTCCTCCACCTCCTCTTCCACCTCCTCTTCCACCTCCTCTTCCCCCTCCTTCCCCCTCCTTCCCCCTCCCCTCCTCCTTCCCCCTCCTTCCCCTCCTCCCCCTCCTCCACTTCCCCTCACCTTCCTCTTCTTGTTCCTCTTCCTCTTCCCCATCCTTAACCCTCTTTCCCCCCCTTCTGGCCTTTTCTGTCCTGGTGATTCTCTTCCCCCCCCTTGGCTGGTTGGTGGGTTATTGATCCACAGGGAGTCACTGGGAAGATAACAATGGGAAGGTAAGGTCTTCCCTCGGCTGATATTTCCTGCCCTTACCCCGAGCCCGGTGCAACGACGTCCATGTCCTTGCGGGGTTTTGCTTCACATGCACTTTTTTTTTATTATTATTATTATTATTATTTTTTATCCTTTTCATGCCTCCTTGGATTGGTGGTGCATTTTAACTTGCTGTTACTGTTTGTTGTCATTGTGGTGGTAGTGTGTGTTGGGTAGTTTTGTGCCCTTTCAGGTCGTAAACTTATTCTCATGATGATAATAGTTGAGCTGATGTTGTCATTACGGGTATGATCATTATCGTCATTGATTTATTTGGTTCTTAATATTCTTAGTGTGAAGATTATTATTTTTGTGATTATTTTTTTTTTAATTTCATTGTATTTGTAAGCTTTATTGGAATTGGCTTTATTTTATTTTTTATTTGTAATTATTATGAATAATCATTAGTGTCAGTATCAGCATTATCATTATCATTGTCATTGATTAACCATTATCTCATTTCACTATCATTAATTAGTCATTATAAGTCATCACTGCCCTTATTATCATTATTAGCATAGTTATCTTTCTTTATCTTTTTAAGTATTATGCTTTTTTTGATCACTATTATTATAGATATTATTATTGTTGTCATTAATTAATTATTATTTAGTTAGTTTATCAATTTATTAATCTATTATTGTTATTGTTATTATTTTTTTGTTATTATTATTATTGTTATTTTTATTAGTATAATGATAGTAATGATAATGATGATAATTATTATTATTATTATTATTATTATTATTATTATTATTATTATTATTATTATTATTTTATTATTTTTTTTAATTATTTTTTTTTTTATTATTATTATTATTTTTATTATTATTACTTTTTTATTATTATTGCTATTATTATTGTTGTTTTTTAGTGATGATGAAGATGATATTTTTATTATTAGTATAATATTTGGTTTTATTATTGTTAATGATATTAGTATTGTTATCATCATTATCTTTACTGTTGATTCTTGTTACTTTCTCATTATTATTATTATTATGATAATTATTAACACCATCAATACACCTTTACTATAATTATACCCCTGTTCTTAATATCCTTTAAGTCTAATTAATGGTTGCCTTTTATTCCACTTAGACTCTTAGGCTCGTGTATTCAAATGTTGAAGAGCAGTATTTTTACATTGCTGGCAACCTGTGTTCTGAGTTACCATATAGACTACAGCATGGAATTTGTGTGGCCCCACTGCACCTATCAAGGGCCATTAGGGGAAGGTGGCTGGGCGTGGCTCCTGGAGGGGAGGCCAGAGAGTTATGGACCGTGCTGGGGGGGAATGGGAAATCAGAAGGCCTCTCGTCGGGGTGCCGTGTGGTGGTGTGGTTTTGTTTTTGTGCTGTGAGAAGCGTTGCTGTTGTTATTATTATTGTTTTTGTTATTATTTATGTGGTGGCGGGAGGGGTTTTGTTGAGTGGCAATATAAAAGTTAAAGTCTTGTATTTAATTAGCAGAATTGTTTGTAGTGAGTAAGATGTGTAAAGATGAGCATAGATTTTCTCTGTAAGTTTTTAGGGTGTATTGTAGTTTATTTGAAATTGATCTGTGGGAATATAATTGATTAGATAATTATTTTGAAAACCAAATGAGTGGAAATTATGATTATGGACCATTGGAATACGGAGAATTTTTAGTGTCCATGTAACTGTCCATGAATTAAAAAGTAGTATCATTTACTGCATTTCCCCTCTTTTTTCATTGTTTTATTAGACCAAGAATGATATCAGTAGTTTATACTAGGTAAGGTGATAGGTGACTATATTATATTAGAGGTGAATTGCTGTGCCCACTACTAAAGCAATGCCTGCTGAGGACTTAGAGTCGATCATGAATGTGAGGGTATTGGAGAGGAAAGTCGTTACCCTTGAGACTCAGATTCAAGATTTGAAATTTCGAATAATTTCCAATGAACGGAAAGTTGCAGAAGAGAAGAGACGAAAGCTTGGTAATGTTGTGCGTTTAATTTAGTATCGTTGAATATGATTTAGAATTATTAGACTTTGAAAAATTGTTTGTGGAAAAATGGTTTGTACATTTCCTTAAAAGAGAAATGCTGAGTAGCATTGGAATACTAGTTTGTTAATACTGTTAGACAGAAATCTGATTAGATGTCATATGAATGTGAATTAACATGATATATATATTTTTTTTCACAGATTCAAAATTTAAACAGAAATTTAAGCAGCAGAGACTCCCAGCATGGCAGCCGATCCTCACAGCCGATACAGTCCTTCCAGCATTTTTCCTCATTGGTCTTTTGTTCATCCCCCTGGGGGTGGCTCTTCTCTACTTCTCAGAGAATGTAAGTAGTGCCAAATTATGGTCATGATGAGAAGATGAGCTTGATTGCAAAGTTCTCAATGGTACTGAAGACAGGGATATCACAATGTATGTTTGTGGTAATATGGTCTCATATTTGTGTGTTCTGAATATAACTAGAAAGACACTCATATACTGTTGTCCCTCCAAAAGGTACAAGAGTTCCAGTTAGAGTACACAGATTGTGAGAGCATCTCCCATCAATTAGCTGACGGAACAAAGAGGCAATGTAAGGATGTTATAAAAGATACTCCTGAGGTCTGCACATGTCGCATTAGCTTCAACATCTCGGAAGCCTTTGAAAACAATGTAAGATATGTTCAGTTGGCTGTGCTTGTTTTCCAGTTATTTTCAAGTAATGGTGTATGATAATTAATGCATATATTAGATTGCAAATCTTATGCCTTATAGAGATGACTTAATATATGATTTACAATATTCCAGGTTTACCTTTACTATGGCTTGGATAACTTCTACCAGAATCATCGTCGCTATGTTAAGTCTAGGGATGATGACCAATTGTTGGGAAGAGTAAATCCTACTGTTAACAGCGACTGCAAGCCTTTTGCAACTGATACTAATGATAAAATCTTTGCACCCTGTGGAGCAATTGCCAACTCAATGTTTAATGGTATTAAAATATATATTTTTGTATATGCATTAATTTGCAGATTGACATATATTGACATCATAATTGTTTATTCCTTTATTTCTAACATGCAAACTGTATCCTCAGACACGTTGAGGTTGTTCCGGAAAAAGGAGAAGGAAAACATAAAGTTGATCAAGAAAGGCATTGCTTGGCCCTCAGATAGGAAGTTGAAATTTAGCAATCCTGAAGGAGCATTGAATGAGACTGGTGGTAAGAGGCTTGTTGATTCTGTTCTTTCCTGATTATATGAAAATCTATTAAGTGGGAGTGAGCAGGAGTGACTGTGATTGATCTAGAATGGATTTGAACATGCGTAAGAGTCAGACTAAACATAGAGCTTGAGTGAAGAAATAAGCAAAAGGAACTGAGCGTGAGTTTCATGTAGTAGATATGAGAGAGCATTAATGAGCAAGATTTGAGTATGAGTGAACAGGAGCGAATAGGAGCAAGCAGCACCAAGGGAGGTATGGAAAGGCGTAGAGGCAAATACTTTCTGTATACATTTCTGTGTTTCATATTTTATTCATTATCAATAGGTCATTATTCCTAGTTAATAGGGATGTAATTATTCCTATGGCAATGTAAGTACAAAGGACAGTCATTAAAAGACTTATTCTATCACTTTACAGCATTCAAAGACACTGTCAAGCCTCTCTACTGGACTCGTAGTGTATGGGAGCTTGACTTAGATGACCCTGATAATAATGGCTATAGGAATGAGGACTTGATTGTCTGGATGCGCAGTGCAGCTTTTCCCACCTTCCGTAAACTCTACCGCAAAATTGACCACACCCAGCCGGGTTACATCAATGGACTCCCTCCAGTATGTATAAATATTAGATTTATGATCAGATATCCACAATATTGTTTAGATATTTTCATTCACCTCCTCCTTTTCCCTTTTCTTCTTGGCCTTCATCTTCACTTTCTATTTCCTCTTCCACTTTTGCCTCTTCTTTTTTCTGTTCTCCTTCCTGCACAGAGGAATGCCTAAAGATAAAATCTAAATGTTTGTACATTTATAGTTGACTGTCATAATGAATTTATATCCCTAGTTGGAGATATAAGCACAATAAAAATTTAATGTTCCTTACATGTAAGGCATGTAATGCAGATATTTCTTCCTGTTTGTAATGTCACTTGTAAGTACTTTGTTAATATTTATATTTCTGACATCTACCTTAGATCAAACATCACCTCTTTTTTTTTTATAGGATCGTTACTATTTGGAGGTTGACTACAATTACCCAGTGGATTCATTTGGTGGTAAGAAGCGAATGATTCTCTCCACAACCAGCTTCTTGGGTGGCAAAAATAACTTCCTCGGAATTGCCTACATCACAGTGGGAGCTATTTGTCTCCTGCTTGGGATAATTTTCCTTATTATCCACATCAAATTTGGAAAGAGGTAAGTTGCAGTCTTGGTGATGGAGATTTACTGTGAAAAGCACTAAGGATACAAATTAAAGGGACTGTCATATACAAATGTTAGTTTGATAGTCAATTTTTTGTTATAAGTTAGAAAGACAACTGTCTAATAAATGTGAAATGTGAGTGTGCTCAGCCAGTTGTGTAATAGGTGTAAATGAAGTTGTTTTAGGTCTTTACTTTTCCCAAGAAGATAAAAGGTATAACTTGCAAAATGTCTTGCCATACTGAACATCATGTCAGTAAAATAATTCTTTGATGAGATGTATAGTGTCAAGAAAGAATGAAGGATATAAAAGAGAGAGTTTTATATTTTTTTGTTACTTTTGTGCAAACTCATTTAAGAGCAAGGCAGTTTTTGGTAGATTTTTTTTGACAATTCACCATGGTTGATTTTATCATGTCAGCATTGTTTTCTTGATTATGTATGCTCATGACAATCCTCTTAAAGGATACATTGGGTGCAAGTATTGGATTTTAGTGGTGATAGCTTGTAGTTGATAATGCTTGTGGAAAAAACAGTTGGTTATTTACATTGTTAGTGCCATGTCCCATATAATAATCTAATTCTAGTAAGAGTGCTGTAATACTGTAACCATTGTTGATGATTATTGGCCAACCTAATTCTTCTTTTTATCTTGAATTCTTACACCTCTGTAGGTAATTGCAAAATATCTACAGAATTCATATATTCTATAGCTAGGAAAAAGTCAGTTGTTTTTCACCCCATATTTTACCATGTTTCTTTGTGAATAGCCATTCTTATATGCATTTTGACATATAAAGAAATAAGAGGACTTATGATCTTGCTTATATATGTGATTACCTGTGCCCATTGCAGTTCTACATTAATGGGTGCTGGTAGATGAAGCTTACAAATGCTGTGCATAGTTAAATACTTCAAAGAATGAGATTGCTTGTAAACCTGACAACACAAAACAAAATGACACATATGTCACAGCATAGTACCATAGACTATATACCACAGATGCAAATCATGATTCAAAATGCTGCAGTCCAGATCAACAAAAAATTGTATTTTATAGAGAATGTAGAAATGGACATTTTACCTTTAATTGGCAGGTGATATAATATTACATCTTTGTGGGGAAGGGTGGTAGGAGTAATATATCCAAGGCTTGGGTGGATGGTGCATGCATATAGTATCAGGGGTCACCTGTGTAGGATCATACTCAACAAAATGCATTATAATAGCAGATCCTGTACAATACATATCATTGAATGACAGCACAGCCCAGCACAGCCCAACTTAACTTGTCACTCTGATGTTAAGATTTCTTTACATCATCTTGAATTTGTTCTCACATTACTATTTGCTCAACAGTGTTGGGCAGCTAATTTTATAATGTCTACTCTTATTATATGTGAATGTTAAATGAAATAAAGGCAATTTGATACCCATTTTGGGTTTTGATTCATGCTAAAATTGAGTAAGGTTATAAGAATATAGTTTTACTGGTATTGCTTTCATTTCGTTTGATCTTATTAATGTGAGTTGAACTAACATGTCTGATTATATCAAGTGATGTTTTTCCATGAGGATGTGATATTGTGTTTTGTCCTATTTCTATATATTACACCACCACAAAATGGAACAATTTACAACAGTGGACATATAACCACAAATATAAACAACACACATGCAGATATAAACAACTGACAGAGCTGGTACACTACATTCACACAGACATGCATGTAAGCAGCACATGCACAAAGCATATACACTGCATGCACACTGCAAGTGCGCCACACAGACACTGCAGAGGCACTGCACAAGCACTGCACAGGGACTGTACAGGCATTGCTCAGGCACTGCACAGGCACTGCACGGGCACCGCATAGGCACTGCACAGGCACTGCACAGGCACCATGCACACACACACACACACGCACAAGCACAAGCACAAGCACAAGCACAAGCACAAGCACAAGCACAAGCACAAGCACAAGCACAAGCACAAGCACAAGCACAAGCACAAGCACAAGCACAAGCACAAGCACAAGCACAAGCACAAGCACAAGCACAAGCACAAGCACAAGCACAAGCACAAGCACAAGCACAAGCACAAGCACAAGCACAAGCACAAGCACAAGCACAAGCACAAGCACAAGCACAAGCACAAGCACAAGCACAAGCACAAGCACAAGCACAAGCACAAGCACAAGCACAAGCACAAGCACAAGCACAAGCACAAGCACAAGCACAAGCACAAGCACAAGCACAAGCACAAGCACAAGCACAAGCACAAGCACAAGCACAAGCACAAGCACAAGCACAAGCACAAGCACAAGCACAAGCACAAGCACAAGCACAAGCACAAGCACAAGCACAAGCACAAGCACAAGCACAAGCACAAGCACAAGCACAAGCATATGCCCACACACACACGCACACGCACAAGCACAAGCACAAGCACAAGCACACGTACATGCACATACGCACGTGCACTTACACCACACATGCACTGCTCACATTCTCTCACACTCATTTGCTCTAAAACTTAAAAATAAAAAGATTTCAAGAAAAAGCATGCTTGTTACGCAAGTTTGCTTTGAAATGGAAGCTTTCATTTTAAGCACGCCACAAAGTGTGGTGGAGCAAAAACTTTAATTCAAAGTTTTTGAATTAAAGTGATTTTTGCTTTTATATGATGGAGTGATTCAAGGAAGATTTCTAGGTATTTTAGGGAAGAGGGTGCTTGTAAGAAAGTGGACTCTGAGGAAGTTACCCAAAGCTTGGACGAGTTAGCTTAGGCTGTTTTAGGTAAGCTTAAATTTCTGTGGATTTAAACCTAATTAGCTAGCTGTTGCATTTTCAAGTAGAGTTCCAGAGGTTGTTTGTTTAGATTTATTCATGTTCTCAATTGCATAGTAATATGAGGAAAACAGATGTAGAAGTTATTTGACTTAACAAATCATCAGTGTTAATTATGCAAGTTATTTTTTCTCTCTGTCATTTTATCTTGTTTCAACCCTGGGCTTCATTTTGAAGCTTAAGAGTAAAGAGAGATCAACAAGACAGTCTGGCGATTCCTTTTTTATTGTTGGTAAAATTCCAAGGGTGATTCCATATAATGCGAACCATCACTTCAGTCATTAATTTTCTCCCTACTTTCCTCCTTTTTGAGAATGACAACCTTCTGATGTCCTGTGATGTTTTCTATGGTTCAGACTCTAGTGTGATGTATGGTAGTTGCTTCTCCTCGTGTGTGATGCTGCATATTATTATACCTATTTTTTTTATTGGGACAGAGATGCATTTGCTTGGTGATGACTAAGGACAGGTTAATAGATTATTAATGTCAATTTTGTGATAATTGAATAGTTTTTTCGTTTTTTTTAATGTATTGTCATGTTGGGGTTGGTGATTGTTTTAAATGCCACAGTGCTGCTCAGACATGCATTCAGTCATCCCCAAGCTGTTAAGTTCATCTTTGCCTAAATAGGAAAAAAAAATTGAGTATAGTAAGGAATATATTTTAATGTTCTATATTGTAGTTTTTGACATTGATGTGTCAATTAATCTGCATTCTTTTATCATTTTTCAGGGCTGGTGATCAGCTGAGTATAAACCAGAACACACCATACAGTGATTAGAAGAGCTTTGTTTCATATGAAGTCCAATCTTATTGTAAAATTTCCAAAGAGAGGGAAGAGGTTCAGTGTGGGTAATAACAGTGGGACACACGGCCTCTTTCATTTTTTATTTATTTGAATATCATTTGTGATATCTGGATAAAGTGAGTTTGTTTTAGATTCTCAAATGCAGGACCAAAGAACTATGTGAGTACCAGTGATAGATAAGCTTTTTTCTTATTATGGATTTTGTTATAGGAAATCCCAAATAATTTCTGTATAGAACATTCCCCTTTAAGATATTTGCTGGATAAGGTGACTTTTTCTGCATCTGATTTTATAAATTGCTATTTTGTTATTCATGGTATCGTAAAATTGCAAGCCATAGCATTTAGGAAAAAAGTGAAGTCTGTTATCTGTATATCACAATTTAGAGGTTCATTAAATGGCTCTTGAAGGTACTTGATATATGTAAATGCTTGATGAAAGGTAAGAATATTTCTTATGAAGCTTTCAAGTCAGCATTACCCTCATAGATTATGAAATTGCCTCAAGTATTGCCCTGCTTATGATAAGAAATGGTATATTATGAAAAGATTTAGCAGAAGTAAAGAAAAATGAGTCATTGTTGTTGTATATTTTATGATCATTTTTTATGAAAGGGCACATTGAGAATTTTTCTTTTTTTTCCCTTTTTTCATATTTCATCTCAGGGTTTAATTAGAGATTAAAACAAACTAAACTTTCATTGATTAATACAGACTATGATACCATCACCTCAAAATTATGTTGCCATTTGTCCAAGGATAGGTTGTACTTAATGATTAAGAAGATGATAATAATAATAAGATAATAATAGTTACGATGAAACTTCGGTATTGGGGCTTTGGGTGCATTTAAGGCCACCTTGAAAATTGGTTTTAGTAAACAGTAGACAGTAGCCTTTGGGTTATTGTATTTTCATAGGTTGATTCTTATTTATCCATTATTGGTAAAAAAAAATATGTGCAAGTTCTACTCCTGTGGCAATGAAATTAGTATTATGTTCTAAAATAATAATTGCTTTATTACTGATAAGGTACTTATTATTATTTTGCCATTAAGTCCATTTTTTTTTTTTTAATAAGATCTTGAAAATGATCAGTATTATTTCTTTCTAAATATATTTTGACTTTGATTTTTATTCAGTTTGGGTGAAGTGGCCTTAAATATTAATTTTATGATAAAGATAATAAAAAGAAAAACAAAAAAACAAAAAAACAACAAAAAAAAACTAAATTAAATGAAGCTTCACAGAAATGTGAAGACAAATGAAGCATATTCACTGGTGCTTTACTCCTAATATTTTCCTTATTGCACCTGAACATTTCGGTTTCAAAATCTTTCAGAGAAATAAAGAATAAAAGATTAATTGGGTTTAGCTTACAGTGTAATATTTGTATATATGTTTGAAGATACATACATATATACATACATATTTACATGCTTATATGTAATCATAAGATATTTTTGGTATTCTGCAATTTCTTTGCACAACAATTAGATTTTATCTTAAAAAGTCAATACATATACATAACACATAAGTATTGTCGCCAATTTTCATTTTCATTATAGCTTACAGCTATAAATGTATATAAGAATATATAACCAGTTCACAGTGCCAGTATAGATATTCTATTATTATATGTGAGATACATAGCGCATGTGTTGAGCTGTGTCAAGAAGTATGCTTGTTGTTGGTGGACATTACTGTGTCACTTAGCAGAATGTGAAGGATCTTGCTCTTATACTTCTTGCAACACAACTTCAGCCTTACTTTTTATTTTTGAGATTATCTTTATTATTATCATAATTAATATTATATAAATAGTTTTTAATCATTTTTAAGAAGCAGACTGAAAACATTGTAGTTTGGTCATTTTCCTGTCAGCTTTTCCTCATTTGCATATGGTATATATCATACAATGAGAAGACTTTTGTGTTTGTGATATGTATAGCAAAAAATGCAATAGTTGATTTTCATCAATACTATTTTATGTAAAACATATATATTCTTGTTGAAGCAATGTGGTAGTAGTTAGTGTTGTAAAATGTTGCATTCCATATATTAGATGTTATAAAATATTTATGGTCACTTGACAAAAGGATTTAATGTATTCATAAGATAGGATTTAAACTTTCTAAGGTAATGCCTAAAATTTTTGATTCAAAAGTGTCTTCATCTAAATTCTGACGGTCTTTTATCACGAAGGTTTGAACATTTTTTCACCTTTTCCTCAGTTTGATTATTTTCTATTAATATGTTCACTTCATTTACTTGTGTCTGATTTATGAATTTGAGTGTAATTGTTTCATCTAGTCCAATAAAGTCTGTTGTATGAAAAGTATTTGTTTGTGGTTCTTATTCCTTCCAGCTGTTGAAAAGATTTTAATGTTCATGGCTATTCCTTAAAATGCCCATGTCTGTGTCCCAGTTACATCTGAAAACCAAGCCATAGCATTATCAACTCTTAACTGATCTCACTGGTAACCCCATTCCTGGAGAATCTCATCCAACTCTCAATACTTGTACTGGAACTGTCTCTATCTCCCCAACAAACTGCCCTGTCTATGACAAAACTTGGTCAAATTGTGGAGCAGACTTACTCGCCTGCCTCACAGACTATGATGTGATATCAATACATTGCTACTCCATTCCTCTTAGAGGTCATCGTAAGAACCCCATCAACATTGCCAAAATTACTTTCTGTAGACATGACCTTTCCTCTAATATTTACATTGGTGGAGAATCCCTCCCTTTCCGACCATATCAACTGACTCTGACATTGTCAAAATTGTTGGTGTCTAGGACATCCTGCCAAACACTGCCGTTCCACAGCCAGATGCCCTCTATGTGTCCAACCTGGTCATAATCGATGAAACTGCTCTGCAGTCACACATGCCTACTGTGGGAGCCCCCTTTTTGTATTTTATAAGGGCTGCCCCACCTCCAAGTTTGAGTGTGAGGTGACAACTCCAGGCAACTTTCCTTGTAGTTGGTCATTTTAACTGCCGCCACACTCTCTGGGGCGATTCTATCACCAACTCCCGTGGCTGATCCCTAGAACGCTTCCTCTCCACAATTCAGATCGCCCCACACACTTTGACGCTACAAAAGAGGCACCCCTAATCAACTATCAGCACTTATCTCCTTTAAAAGAGCATCCGCCTGTCTTCGTCGTACAATTCGGATTAGTAAAACAAATAGCCGGCGAAATTATGTTTCCTCAATTACATCTTTTACATCAGGTTCAGCTGTTTGGCGTCGGATCCATAAACTATCAGCATACATCCCCTGTCCAGCACCCGTCTTCCATATTCGAGATATTCTCATCTCGGATCCTCTCCAAGTCGCTAATGAAGTAGGAGGCTATTTTAGCCAGGTCATTAGTGGCTCTCACCTTTCTCTACACTTCTCTTCCATTAAGGCCATCAAGGAGCGTACCCCCATCATCTTCACCCTATCCTCTGCTGAGTCCTATAAGGCTCCTTTTTCGTCCTCTGAACTCAATGCTGCCTTACAGTCGTGCCACAACACCCATGAAGACCCTGACGGTATTTACTACCGTATGCCCCGACTCCTTCCATCTTTCTCTATATCCTTCCTATTAACTATTTTCAACCACATATGGACAACAGGAAATTTTCCTTCTCATATATCGGATGCCCTCCCTCAAGATTACCGCCCTATCGCTTAAACTAGCAGCTTGTGCAAACCACTAGAACGAATGGTTAACTTCCGCTTAATGTGGTATCTCTCCTTCCCAGTTTGGTTTCCGCCATATTACATCTGCATTTGCACCATGAATCTGTATTAGCCATATTCTTTGACCCAGAAAAGCATATGATTCCACATGGCGGTACCATATTCTCCAATAACTCCTCCCTATGCATACGCGGAAACATGACTTTACACGTTCAAATTGCCTCTTCCACATCATCCTCCACAAGGCAGCGTGCTCAGCACCACTTTCTTCCTTCTTGCCGTTAATGCCACTGTCTCAGTTTTAGCACCAGGAGCTGGTATCACTATATGTTGATGATTTAACCATCTTCGCCTCTGGCACATCCATACCAAATCTGCAATCATCAGTATCTTCCTGGGCCACAAACCACGGCTT